TGCCGTGCACTGCAGAGCAGGAGCCACCATGGAGGGACGTCCAGCCACTTTGATGACTCCCAGTCCCCCAAGCACTGATGGCTACTTGCCGCCTAGGGTTCTTCACATGGAATGAAATTTTACTTTTTTGAGACAGGTAAAATTATCCTGTTTTTGTTAAGCGAGCACATCAAAATATGCATGACTTTATGCAGAAGTTAGGTATGGCAACTTCCGTGCAAAATCCACAAATGTCCCACTTGAGGTCAAGAACGGATGGCATTTTTTCTGTTGGAACACCCCTCTTTTGCCTGCTCTGATCCTCTGAGATCTGGAGGGAGACCACAGATGAATACTGCGCCCAGCTTCCGAATCCAGAAACCCTGTGGGTCCACGATGGGTTAGAAAGAAGCCTCAGCTTGGGTGGACAGTTGACAGCTATAATGAAGTGTGTGGACACTGCCCTGTATCGCTTTGTTAAGAAACAAGGGGACACTCTTGGGCTGACTTCTTTCTGTCCTGAAACACATTTTTAATTAAAAACTTAGTATAAGGCCTAGGGCGGAAAGGAAAAGTGAACTAATTTTGGGGGTACAGGAATATCTTCATTCGGGTCCAGGAAACAAGGCTGCCCGCCCTCCCTCCGAGTGCACACCCACACATACTTGCACTGCCTACTAACATGTTAGAGGATCCAAACAAAAACAAAATCTACCTGTGTCCAGAAATTCACGGCTTTATTCTAACACAGAAGACATACAAGCAAGTTATTTTGATGTATCAGTTTGAGGTCTCCTTCAGCATACTGACCCAAGGCTTGCAAAGAACTCCTAAATAATTAAATACTATTTATGGTCAGACAACCAGTAATGGAGTGCAAACTACAGTACCCACTGGTGAGCCCACACTCACTTAAGCCAAATGTCGGATGATACCTGGGAAATATTCAGAAAGTTATATTTTGCATGAAATTTGGTAATGGTCTGGTTATTTTAGCTAGCATCTAAGGGGGAAAAAAAGGCAAGCTTATTTTTATCGACTTGAGAAACTGAGGGAGGAAAGGGGACATCCACAAGCCCCAAGAGTGGCGTGGGTCTGGCGGCTCAGCATCACTTGCCTCAGGATGCATCTGCAGGAAGTGAAGCAACAGGAACTCACACTGGCACTGATGGCGGTTGCAGGCGTCTTAAGCGGAAGCTTAACCCACTGTACCAAGTCTGTCCCTAATTCTTTTCCAGTATGAAAGTGAACTTGAAAATTCAGTTATCCGTGACAAAATCCTGTCTTCAGAGTTCCACAGGAGGTACTGAGACTGCTGTCAACAGCTCACGAAGCGCAAAGATATAAACAACAATCCCTTCTTTCAAAGGGTCTGAGAAACTGGATGGGTCCGCAGAGCAGCAGCTAAACATGATGAGCTATGCATAACTTACTCCCTCCCATATGACAAATTTTTCATGTAGAGTAAAATTAAAATGACTCCCAAGTTATATTTTACAAACAAACCAAAAAAGGGCATTTAGGGTAGCAGTTGACACACCCATGTCTAAGACCAGAGTACTTGGGTTCAATTCCCAGTTCCAGTTTGTAATTCCATCAGAATTTATAAAAACTTTTATTGAAAAATCCTGTCTGCCTATTTGGACTTCCACTTACTTAGACTTATCCCTCATCTTGGTGGGGAAATGTAGTGATCAACGATGCAGTCCTTAGGAAGGAAACATGTGCAAGTCACCAAGAAACGACAGTGCTGAGCCACAATTTGCAACACTGGCATGGCCCTGCCCTGGCCACTGCAAACATCTGTACAGTGAACCAGCAGGTCAAGACTAGCCCTCTTCTCCAGGTGCCTTTGAACCATGTGCTTATACTGCTGCATATTTTCTAGAAGCCTTTTATTGCCGGGGGTGGGGGAATCCATTTGATTCTTCCCCCAGACACAGACAAGTTAATCCACCCTAGAGTGGGCTAGCTGGCAGGCCGCTTTATGAAATTACCTACATCGGAGTGGAATAAAGTCCAAGACGGATGGCTTTTACACTTCACATCATTATCAACACAGGATTTCAAACATCATATTCTGATCCCAGTTAGTTCTGAAAAATGCTCCCCAGGCTGGTATCCTCTAAGGACTTTCTGGTCATGATCTTCACATTACCACGGGGCTTCAGTGTCTCTCAGCCTTCTCAGACCTGCAGCATTGCCTAAAATACACATGAATGGTGCCCTATACACCAGTTGCCCACCAAGCTATTTTAAGCTTTCCAGGCATGTCTGGTGCAGTGGCCTAGCAGCTAAAGTCCTCGCTGTGAATGCACTGGGATCCCATATGATCACGACTGCTAATCCCAGCAGCCCCGCTTCCCATCCAGCTCCCTGCTTGTAGCCTGGGAAAGCAGTTGAGGACAGTCCAAGGCCTTGGGACCCTGCACCTGCATGGGAGACCCAGAAGAAGCTCCAGGGTCCTGACTCTGGATTGGCTCAGCTCCGGCCTTTGCGGTCACTTGGGGACTGAACCATTGGACAGACTGAAGATCTTCCTCTCTGTCCCTCCTCCTCTCTATATATATCTGACTTTGTAATAAAAAATAAATCCTAAAAAAAAAGCTTTCCAGGTGATTCTGATACATGAAGTTACACTAATGTTCTCCGACTCCTACTCCCTCACCTATGGGCACAAACGCAGTTGTTCACCCCCTGGAATCGGAGGCCCCGGGAGCCAGCAGCAGACATACATTCTCCTAAGGGAGAGGCTGTAGGTTCTCTCCCTGACGTCCTCAAAGGGAAGTAGTCTATAAACAGGCTTAGATGGCACACTCAAAAGTGTAAAATTCTGCAAATACACACCATGCCAAAATGTTGTCCATGCCCTTCAATATTCACTTCAACAGCTTAGGCACAAGCAGCAATCAACTTTATCACTACAAGAGCATCTCATAAATTTGCATGTTACTGACTTCCCCACAATCTCTTCCACACTAACATTAACGTTCTGGCCCACAGGTTGACTCAACAGTCAGAGGAGGCGAGAAGCTGGTATAATATCCAACTTCCTGAAGGCTGAGAAGAATCACTCATTGGCTATCTGCTATCCACAATATGTGTTACACACACACTTTGTACAGTTCCAGTTTTCTCTGAACAGAGTGACAGCACTGCCTACCATGTTAAGTTTGTTTTTGGAAGTACAAACTGTGGGACCAAACAATTTACCTTTGCCCGAAGAAGTACACCAATGTCCACTAATGCACAGTGACCACTGACAAGAGCTGGGTGCAGCAATTAGGCTGTTTAGTTCTAAACAGCTAGCTTTTAATGGTACCCAATTTTAAACCAAAGATGCAAAGTGAAGTTATGGAACAAAGCTACTTCTCTTTTCAAGAAATACAGCACAACTGGTTATTTTCAAAGATCCAAATGATAGCTAGCCCATACTAAAGCAGTTGTCAATCAAGGCTGTATTTTCTACTCTCCCCCAATCTAACCTGCCCCTCTCTCCAGCCTGCACTTACTTTTCTTGGTATGTTCTTGCCGAGTTCTGTCTCACGGTTTTCTACTTCCAGTCTTCTGTTGACTGCCTACCGATCTATGCTGGTAGTAGTGCAGATGGCTTCTTAGCTACAAAGTGGATGCAGCACTGCGCTGTCAGCAAGACCAATGAACTGGCCTCTCTCCTCCCTGAAAGGCCGTCTGCGCTACCTGTGGATAGTCATCACATGTGTGTCACCTACTCTGATGCGACATTTTTAAACACCAGAGCTAAATTCAGAGATGTAATACGACTTGCCCAGGCTGTGCTGCTAAACCAGAGGCAGAAACAAAAGTAAAACCCCAATTCAAACCATTCCCAATACACCACCACTGTCACAAAATACACCACACCAAGATTAAGAAAAGCTTGTAAAGAAACCAATATAAAACTTAGTATATAAGAAAATCTCTGGTTGCTCTCTAGACTTTCAGATGGAATTAAAACAATATGTATAACGAGGAATGCTTCACAGTCTGATTGATGCCATCAATGCTCAGTCTGTTTGGAGTCTAACCTGTGGCTGCAACTTTGTCACTGGTAAGATTGCCAAGAGGAAGGATTAAGGAGGCACACCAAGAGAAATGCACAAGGAAACAACACATTTCTACAAGCACATCATCCCAGTCACAGTAAAGGTTAACTTTCAGTTTAATTTACAGAACAGTGACAGACCCATATATTTTCAGTGAAAAGCAAGAAGATATTTACACCATTTTTAAAAACATCAATTCAGAAATTCTAAGTCAAGCAAGCATGCAAAATTCAGTACATTAAAAAAAAAAAAAAGTGCCAGGCAAGATTGCCCAATAAACTTCTCAGGTAAAGGTGACTTGAAAATGTCCACCAGATAATCAAGTGAATTGGAGTGGAAAGGGCCACTTCAGAGACCAGGAGGCTCATTTCCTCAGTTCACAAATGAACACAGTGAGTGGATGGGAACTGGTGAACGTCACATAGCTAGAGTAGTGATGTATGCAGATCTAATTCCTAGTGCTTTTTGCAACGCCACATATCTCAAACACGCGGAGGTAAATATCCAGGACACAGGAATGCAGTCCCCGGAGGTAAGCACAATGTCTCAGGACTGACGCCGCAGGACTGGCTGCGGTTGTTAGCACAGCACAGCAGCACACCGTATAGGGTTAGATTAGACTGAACGAGCTCGTGAAGAAACTTCGATGCTCAGTTTTCACAACACAGCCTAGTTTCCATTTAATTTTCTAATTTATCTCAAAATGTGCTAGTTTAAAAAAAGTAGCACTCCTCAGCTTTCTCTCACCATTCTTTTGTATATAGTTTAGTATTCTATGTTATATATGTAACTTGCATGTTTTAAACAAAATTCATATTTTGGTGACTTCTAGTGTATTTATAAAATGAAAAGCTCTCTATCAAAATACACTTTTCACTGGGAAAATAAATAAAACAGACAAATGGATCTACACAAAGCAAACAAGAACTTTGGTAGATTTCAGTGTAGTACAGTCCATTAACAAGCTTATTTGCCTTTATTTCCCCCAGAGCCACTCAACTTCCAAGAATTTTAAAAATATTTTGAACTGCGATTTTATTATGTTGACATTTTTCATCATTCCACATCATCTTCAGCCAAACTCTGAGCACTTACAATTCTCTGAAAGAAGAAAAACAGTATTTTAAGTGCGATAAACTTTTAACTGGAACCCTAAGGTCAACATAAGGTACTCTGCTTCAAAGAGTTAAATCCTGCTAAACAGTTCACCATTGTAACAGTTAGCACTTTATACATTATGCTCTATGTTAGCCCATCACACAACTCAAACCAAAACAAGAACAAGTTTTATATCTATTTTCACGCTCACACAAACCAAGAAAACTGGTAAGTGCTCTGCCAATCACTGTTTCGAAACGCCCCACACGTTTAGTCCTTACCTGACTAATTGTTGGGAGCTTCGTCAGCAGCATCTGGAACACTGGTGGTGGAAGAGTTTGCTGCAACACTTGCAGTAACTGCTGTGGCTGCCCACACACAGCAATTGCGTTTGTCAGATGGTCTACACCCTTTTCATATTCACCTGTAAGATTCATACAAACTCTGTAAATTGAAAATCCTTGGCCTTTGTCAAAAAAAAATTCAATTTTCCACATCAACATCTGTATGTGTTCATAACTGAATTATGAATCTGTTATCAATGAGTCAGATCACAGGTTATAAAATGGAAAAGTTCCCAATGAATACACATTAAGGGAAAAAGGTGAAGACATACTTACATTTATTATCATTTGTATATCTAAAGCATTTCTGAAAGAATTACATAACAAATTGCAAATTGAAGAGTACTGTTCCATGAGAAAAGCAAACTAAAAGATGGATGACAAAAGTAGAAAAACGCTCAATTTTACTTTATGCCAAACATTTGTACCAAATGGCTGCTATCACATGGAAATACAACTTAAAAAAAAACTGCTGCTTAACACAACCAAGGAATCCACCAAAAATACCATTCACTCAGCCTTCATGAAAGCAATCAATAACCAAAGGTGATATCTTCAGACCACACCCACTCATTGCTCCTCTTTTTAGCCCTATAGGCTGGCCAAGTTCCAATAACCCGCCACCACTTGACCTCAGCCTTTGACTTGAAAGCATGGCTATCACAATTATGGCTCCCAGTGTTCTCTCTGCATTACGGAATCTGGCATCCATGGTGTTGTTTCTTATCCCACCCATTGGCTACTGTGTAAAGATTAAAACACCTTTGGGATAAGAGTCTGATGCCGTGGGTCTCTTACAGCAATTGCATACCAGCAAAATTTCTAAGAGCTTGCTCAACACCTCTCAGCCACAGCCTCAGAGAGCTGAACCGCACCCTTGCTAATGTCAGAAAGTGACCGTCTCATTTATACCCCAGTTGTGTCTGGCCATTGTCATCTGGGTATGTTCAGTCACGAGGCTGAGCCACTTCCAAGTTCTGCAATGATGTAAAGGGGACCAACACAAGACCCAACCCTCTGTTGTGCACCCATGCAGTAATGTTCAGTGAAGCGGTACAGGGAAGAAGAAATTGGCTGACTCAGTTCCCATTTCTTGAAAGTCATAATAAAACACCTCAGAATCAATATTGGCAATTCTTTTCTGCGAATTCAACAATACAGAAAAATATAAACAAGGCACCACTGGTACAACATCAATCAACATGTCACCTTGAACTCCCTTACGCTCTTCAATTATACATACATCCCAAATCACGTTATGGCAAATAGATTTGTAAGAACTACTTATTATTATCATATGATATTGCAAAAACCTTAAACTCAATTAAATATGTCACAGGCAATGAAAACTGAGAAGACATTTTTTCTAAGAATATAAATATAAAATAATCCTCACATTGTTAAGCAGCCAAAAATCTGAAATATTTACAACACCTTTGCAAAAACAGCCAAAATACCCAAGAAAAACACCTTATCATCATAAATAGTTTGTAGAACTGAATCTTGTTCCATAGTCTTTCAGTAACTATTACCTTGAGCTAGTAATTCTTCACCAAGCTGTATTTCTTCAAGAAAGAACTTCTGAACAGCTTCAGCATCTTTAAGGTCAGGTAACTATTGGAAATAGACCCCTTAGTAATTAACATAAAAATGCCAAAGGGTATAATACACATAAAACCAATAAAAAGATAAAAAACTGGTAAAAGCTGTCCTTAACACTAATACTTTCAGCAATTATAATATCTATAGTAACATGAGTGAAAGGAAAACTTAATTAATCTGACATTTTAATAGTTCTCAGAAAGCCTTGAATCAAATTTGATCCCCCAAAAAAGTCAACTGTATCTTTTGCTATTTTTGATGGCCATTATGGTAGATTTTTACACTGTAATCAATTTGTGCTACCAATTCACCATTATTTCACAGAGATTTTTACATACCATATTAAAGATGAGTTGTTTTTGAATGGAAGTGGAATACATTACTGAGAAATTGCAACAGCACAACAATTTTCTCTTTGTTGAGCATGTAAGTTTGCAGGTTATCACACTAAATGATGTGGTAAGCAAGACAAGGCCACAAAAAACTAATGAGCGTACCACAATTCAAAAAAGTAGGCAGGTCTGGACAGCAAAGAGCAACAAGTGATCCCTCCAGGCTTACTCCAGCAGACCAGCCCCACACAGCTCTGTTGATTACTCAGTTTGTTTCAAAGTAACAAGATAGAACATTTATTGATTTAATTTTCTTATCTCAAATTAAAAAAAGAACCACTAACAATCCAGTAATCCAAGTCTTCAGAATCCAGACAATAGATTTTATCTGAATTTCAGACAGTGAAATAGACAACTGCAAGCATGATGATTAACACTTACTTACTGAATTAACTCAGAAATGCCACAGGACATTTTATCAAGTACATAAACCCCTGTAGTCACTAAAAATAATCATGAACCCAGGGTCCACGAAGAGAAAATAAACAGTTTACACCTAATTTACATTTTACAAGGTAAAAACTTGTCAAAAAGACTGTGAGTCTGGATCAATAGGTACAAATAATCCTGAAAAGTTGAAATGAAGAGCAAACGGCTCTTTTAATATGGAAAATTACATTTTGAAGGAGCATTTTAACCGTTTGGAGCTAATCTCTTCTGGACACCATCATTGTACGGCCCCTTAAGTAGTAGTCTCTGTACAGTAAGCTGCCCACGCCACAGACAGCAAAAGTAAAAGAATGAAATAATATGTAGCTGAAATAAATCACTCATCTATTTCTAACAATAGCAAGTTATTTCAAAATAGAAAAAAACAAAAAAATCAACATCTAAACACTAGCTTTCTCACAATACACTGAAGTAGATTTTTAAACACAAATGGACTGTTACCTTGGAAAGCCCAGCTCTTTCCTTGGCAAGCTTCTGTTTCTTTCTTCCTACAAAAAAAGAAATATGAGTGTTCATTTTGTAATTAACAAAAACAGGAATCAAAAGAAGTCAAATTTCCATGGCAGACATTAATTCCATTTGTGAACCTTCCTGACTAAACTGCGTGGTCTCCTCGTCTCGGCCAAACGAACAGTTCTGCTCAGTCAGCTACAGGCACCATGACAGGGCTAAGAGCTTTCTCTCTCCTACAATACTGGCCCACCAACTCACGAGATGGGAAATGGGTAGTGATAATTAACAAATTGAGCTAACCCCTTTCTAGTACACACAGGACATGCAAGAGAAGTAGAACACTACTTTTTAAGGAATTGATGAAATATACCAGATTTTACCTTTGTTTGTGGCATTCTTAAGTAGGAAAAGAATAACATCTGAGAAAGTTCTCTAAAAATTACAAGATGTATGTATTTGGTGAAAGCTGGTAAGAAACAAGTACTCAGAAACGATCTGCTGGGCCAGGGCACGTCCTGAATACTCCACTTCCCATCCAGGTACCTGCTGATGGTCTGGGAAAGCAGTGGGGAATGGCCAACAACCCGTGTGGCTCCTCTCTGTAAATCTGCTCTTTCAATTAAAAAAAAAAAAAGAAGAAGAAGAAAAGAAAAAGAAATTCACTGCTAAAGTATCAACTCAGTTGTTCCTAGCTAGTTAGGACTTGTGCACTTGGTCTCTGGATATGTATTTTAGGAAGCATGAAAGCAGGCCTGGCATGATAGCTTAGTGGTTAAAGTCCTCGTCTTGAACACTCCGGGATCCCATATGGACACCAGTTCTAATCCTGACAGCTCCACTTTCCATCCAGCTCCCTGCTTGTGGCCCGGGAAAGCAGTCGAGGATGGCCCAAAGCCTTGGGACCCTGCACTCGTGTGGGACACCCGGAAGAAGTTCCTGGATCCTGGCTTCGGATCGGTATAGCATCGGCCGTTGCACTCACTTGAGGAGTGAATCATCGGATAGAAGATCTTCCTCGCTGTATATCCGACTTTCCAATAAATAAATAAATCTTAAAAAAAAAAAAGCCTGCTTCTCATATCTGGAGTCTTAATTCCAGTCCTGGTTCTTATTCCAAATCCTAGCTTCCTATGAATTCAAACCCCAAAAGCCAGCGGATAATGACTCAAGTTAGTGTGTGCCTGCCAGTACAGGGAGGCGTCGGATGGAATCCCCAGCTCCTGGCTGGAACTCCAGCTCTGCTGTGGCAACTGAGGAAACCAAAGACATGAGATCTCTTAGTTCCTGTCTCCCAAAGAAATGATTTTTATTTAAAAGGAGCACACAGTTTTAGATGCTATATATCTGATACTAGTTTAAGTGTTAGCAATAAAGATAACAATAAGACAATGTATCTCTACTCATTTTAAACATGACAAGATTTCCCAAGGTCACAACAAGGGCAGCTTCAAAGAGCATGAGCACTTCAATATTACTCTGCCTCTATTCAATAGCATGGAGAAGACACCCTGTAAAAACCAGATACCTCAGGAATGACCATGGGGAGTTGATGAGATAAATTATAAAACAATAATTGATTTGTTTTAAAAGATCCATTTATATGGCCACTAGTTTTAATCCTGGCTGCCCTGCTTCTCATCCAGCTCCCTTTTGTGTCCTGGGAAAGCAGTAGAGGACGGCCCAAAATCTTGGGACTCTGTACCCCCATAGGAGACCCAGAAGAAGCTCTTGGCTCCTGGCTTCGGATTAGCTCAGCTCCAGCTGTTGCGGCCACTTGGGGAGTCAATCATTGGACAGATCTTACCCCCTGTCTCTCCTCCTCTCTGTATATCTGACTTATACACATAAATCTTTATAAAATCCATTTATTTGAAAGGCATGGACAAAGATGGGAACAGAGATCTTTCAACTGCTGGTTCATTCCCCGAGTAGCTGCAACAGGTGGGATTGGGCTATTCCTGACCCAGATTCAGCCTCCACCTGCCATGTCTGTGTCAGAGACCCAAGTAACTTACTAGAAACCACCATCCTGTCTTCCTGCATCCACTAGCAGAAGTTAGAGCCAAAGTGGAGCAAGACAGGACTGTTAAGGGATGTAAAAGACTCAAGCTTAACCTACTGCATCGCAACAGCCCCAAAGCAGTCATTTACAGATGGCTCTAACAGTGATGACAAAACTCACATTAATGAAATTTAACATTAACAAGAATCACACTACTAAGAATCTTAATTATCTAATCCTGCTAAATCCTCACCTTACATCTATCAGGATCCCATATGGCTGCCAATTCATGTCCCAGCTGCTCCATCCATCCAGCTCCCTGCCTGCGGCCTGGGAGAGCAGTAGAGGATGGCCCAAAGCTTTGGGACCCTGCACCCACGTGGGAGACCTAGAAGAAGCTCTTGGCTTCAGATTGGCTGTCTCAGCTCCAGCCACTGCAGCCACATGAGGAGTGAACCAGTGAACGGAAAATCTTTCTCTGTGTATCTGCTTTTCCAATAATTAATTAATCATAAAAGGCATGTTTACATATATAAGCAGAGACAAAAAGATAAACTATTCTCTGGTTCACACCCCAAATGGTTGTAATGACCAGAGCTGAGCTGACCTGCAGCCAGGAGCTTCTACCGTGTCTCCCAAGAGAGCACAGGGTCCCAAGGATTTGGGCCGTCCTCGGCTGCTTTCCCAGGCACAAGCAGGGTGCTGGATGAGAAGTGGGGCAGCCAGGATATAAGCCTGCGACCAGAGGGGGATCTTGCCACTTGCAAGAGGATGACTGCTCTGTGAGCCATTGCACTGCCACACTCCCAAGTGGTTTGCAACAGGGTTTCCAAAGGAGTGGATTAATCCATTTCTTTAGAGTGCTCCATCTGTTTCACAGTCTTTTTTTCTTTCAAACTTTAGGAATATAAGTTAAATTGCAAAAGTCACACAGCCAGCATTTATGGTGGAGCCGTGCCTTTGCGGGGGGTGCGGGGGTGAGTCTTCAACTAAACCTGAACAAAAGTAGGCATTACCTACTCTTACAGCGCACGAAATTAAGATTAGAAAGCTGCTGCTCATCGCGACTAAGCCGCGTCTGGAAACGCCAGCGTTTGAATCCCAGATCAACAACATCCCTTCCTTCCTGAAGGTTAAACAGCAGGAGAGGCCACGGGCGGCCATTAACGCCCTGGAAATGACTCGGGGAGAGCCCAATGAACTGCACGAGGCTGAATAATCCCTTCTCTGCACCTTCCTACCTTCAGGCACTTCCGTGTAAATTTTAACCTCCAAAACTGTTTCGGTTAAGTAACCCAGACGAAAACATTTCCAAAGACATCACATTTTTACTTTTCTATTGTTGCCAAAGAACAGGCTCCCTCCCTCCCTCCCCCATTTCCCAGCCCCAAGGCAGGCAGGTTGGGTTTAGGTGACACGGTCTCCTTCTGACAAATCTCTCCTAAAATTTGTCGCAGGTCTGAAATAAGACTGAGCCACGGGAGGAGCACAGCCCTTTGGACTCCCCTGCCGTTTCTGTAGCATTCGCTCCTATCCTGGAGGCGGACACAGCGCGACCCCAAGAAGGTGGAGCAATGCCAATGAATTCGGGCTAAATAAAATCCGTCCAACGCTGAGATAGTACGGACTAGCCAAAAAATAAATAAATAAATAAATAAATAAAAGGGGGGGGGTCCCCGGCTACCCACGCGGTTCCCAACCGTCACGATAACACCCACTCGAGAATATTCAACGCGGCAGACGCGTTTGGAGGGAAAATGGAGGGAATCCTGCGGGGCCCGGCAGTGCCAGGGAGCGGCGCAGCCCGAGCCTGGGCCGGGGCCGGGCCCAACACGCGACCCTGGGCACGCGGGCAGCCGGGCGAGGGGCCGCACTCACGTTCTCGCAGCCTGTTCTTGAAGTTGGGGTCACTCCTTCTCTTGCGGTCGAAGTAAATGCAGTAGCCGATGAAGAGGGCCCCGCAGACTCCGGCGGCGATGGCGCTGTTGCGGCCCACCATGGTCCCTCAGCCGCGGAGCGCGACGGCAGCGGTTGGCCGCGAACCCCCAACGCGGACGCGCCGCTCAGCACCGTCGCCCGCCCAGTCGCCGGGGCGGAAAGACCGAGCGCGAGCCACTTCCGGCCCGAGCGCTCGAGGACCTCGAAGGACGTCTGAGGCAGTGCCTGAACGCAGGGCTGCGCGCTGCTACCGCGCCTGCGCAGCGGGCCACGTGGGCCCTGTCGCCATCGCTGGCGCTGCGCGGCTGTGTCAGGTAATGCAGGAGTCACGTCATGCACTTGCCTCAGACCCGCGGGGACGCAGGTTTCCCAAAGCTTGGGTGGGAGAAGCACAGCGGCCTGCTGTCGGTTAAAGCTTTAACTTTTTTCGGGGGGGAGTGGGGGAGACAGATATTTCATCACGGGTTCACTGCACAAATGGCTGCAACAGCCAGGGCCGGGTCAGCCCCGTGTCCCACGTGGGCACAGGGCCCTGAGGATTAGAACAGCCTCCGCTGCCCTTCCTGGGCGCACGTGCAGCGAGCTGGATCCGAAGTGGAGTAGGCGGGATTCCAAACTGCAAGGCCGCAACCCCAGGCTCCTAATTTCTGCCTAAACTGGGTTGCTTCTCAAGTTCAGTCAAGTCTGAGCAGCGTGCTCTGATTTCCAATGACAGGTGGAATGTTAATGGCTCATCACTTTGCGAACAGCAGAAGAAAATTAAACAGAGCAATTCCTTAAAATCTAAAAAAGAAAATGTCTCAACAGCAAATTAAAAATATTCTATACATGTGTAAAATATTCCGGCAGGGACACATGGGCTGGGGTGCCTGGCTTCCCTGTGAGGGGTCCCTTTGTGCTCCCCCACCCCCACCTTTTACACAACTGCTAGAGTGCCATCCTGGAGGAAGTGCTTCTGCAGCCATGGGGAAGACCAGAGTGAGGTTTCCAGCTTCTGGTTTCCACAGGCCCAGGCCTGGCTGTTGCAGACTCTTGGCAAGTCAACCAGCAGTTTGTGCGTGCCACTTTGCCTTTCAACTGAAAATGAGGGCAGTGAAGCCTAACGGGCTCCCAGATGGGTACTGTGTAACTAACACCCCTACGTGCTGGGTGCTGGGAGCGTGATGTTTCCTGAATTCAAACAGGGAATGAGCCCCCTCCACTCCATTGCTTTCTTGCTATCCATCTCTTACGCTGCTTTTGATTTGCACCTTTTACCATTTCAAACTGCGTAAGTGTAGCACTTGGTCTCAGTTTAGAACCTAGGAAAGTGATAGGAGAACCCCCAATTTATAGCCATAAACTCGTGAGGGGGAGCCCCTTAGGTGGGTGAGTTTAAGGCAGTCTTTAAAAAGGAGTGTGCCCTTAACCCAGGGAGTTTGGCTTAACTCTGGGTAGTTGGGGGTCAGAAGTTATTGCAAGGGGTTCTAAAGACACAGGCAGCTAAAGGCCCTACCTGACCTGGTCTAGGAACTTGGCAGTGACCTCCTGCTTAAGTGAGGATTGGCCCAAGATACTCAGGAAGGCTGACAGACCAAAGGCATGTGTGATGGTGCAAATGTACCAAAGCAAAGGATTCTGAGGACTGCATGCAAAAAACAAAGCATTTTTTCTTACACCCTCCATGCACACGATTCAATTCTTCCCATCCAAAAAAGTGCCAGTGAAAACTCTACTACCAATATGTGTTCCGAGCCTCAGGACTAACAAATGGCTTCGCTAAAGCTTCAGCTAGCAGGAGGCCTAGAACACAACTCCTCAACATCTGAGTCCATTCTGTCCCACCCCTCTGAGATGTGTAGTAAATGCAAATATAAATGTTGGACATAGTTACTCTGAAGTAGAAATGTATGCGGCAACGTGTTCCTAAGAGCCACAGTCCATGCCTTGGAGTCTCTTTAACACTTTACGCCTGCATTTTCTTGAGTTTGTGTGTTCAAAAGGTACAGCAAGAGAGCATTTTCCATATGCTGGTTCACTACCCAGTGTGGTCACAACAGCAAGTTGGGCAATGGGGTCTCCCTATGGGCGGCAGGGACCCAAGGACTTCAGCCATCATCTACCACCTGTCATGCAAGGCTGTGCCTTTGTAGGAAACTGGGTTGGAAGCAGCGGCAGGTCTCAGGTTCAGCATTCCAATGTCAGACTTTAGCAACGCAACTGCAAGTGGCAGTTTAACATGTGACACACATTTGCTTGTTGAAAAAACACCTGTTGCCAGGACACGAGAATCTGGATCACGGGTCTGCAAAATCATTTCATCTGAACTGCCAAGGCAACCAACAAAGGGCAAGATTCAAAAATCAGTAATCCCAAAAAGGCTAATTTTATAAAAAGATTTATCTAATTTTATTGTAAAGTCATATATATATATATATATAGAGAGAGAGAGAGAGGAGGAGAGACGGAGAGCAAGATCTTCCATCCAACGATTCACCTCCCAAGTGGCTGTCAACGGCCGGAGCTGCACCACGCCAAGACCAGGAGCCTGGAGTCTACCACACAGGTGCGGGGGCCCAAAGCTTTGGCCATCCTCAACTGCTTTTCTCAGGCCACAAGCAGGGAGCTGGATGGGAAATGGGTCCGCCAGGACCAGAACTGGCACCCATATGGAATCCTAGGGATTGCCAAAACAAGTTTAGCCACTAGGCTATCGTGCCTGGCCCTGTTATCTTTAAAATAAATAAGTAAAGCTTTACATTTCTTTTAAGAAAAATTAGTTTTATAAACAAATACCCAAAAACAAAATCCAATGCTCTAAGCACCACAGGTGTATTTATTCTTACTCTTGGCATTAAGTCCAGTCCCTGCACATAGAAAAATAGAGCTCTGCTTTTCTAGAGCTACATTTTAAAGACCTGTGCTAGTCCCGGAAGATAGGATTTTCAAAACAACTGGTAATAACTCTCTCTATGCAGCCCACATCCTATCTATCAAAGTGATGTATGTTCCTTGTAGATTCTGCTCTCAAAATCAGCCTCTTTGGTTGACTCCCACTCAGGCCTCCCACCTGGATACATCACCAGCTTAGACCTGTCAGGCAATATCAGATTACAAGGTTAAGCACCAAGGGCATGCAATAGTATTTTCTTCCTTTGCTGAATTTCATATTCTGTGCCTAAATTACTGTATTTTACTAGAAACAATCTAGGGCCCAGTGCCATGGCCTAGTGGCTTAAAGTCCTCACCTTGAACGCAACAGAATTCCATATGGGCGCCAGTTCTAATCCCAGCAGCCCTGCTTCCTATCCAGCTCCCTGCTTGTGGCCTGGGAAAGCAGTCATGGAGGGCCCAAAGCCTCGGGACCCTGTACCCTGTGTGGGAGACCCGGAAGAGGTTCTTGGCTCTTAACTGCAGATCGGTGCAGCACGGGCCGTTGCAGTCACTTGGGGAGTGAGTCATTGGATGGAAGATTTTTGTCATTCCTCCTCTCTGTATATCTGCCTTTCCAATAAAAAATAAATCCATCTTAAAAGAAACAAACAATCCAGCTGGTTAACGACGTGGGAAAGTTATAAGATTTCTGCCACCCACAGATGAAGTTTCTAGCTCCTGGCTTCAGCACAGCCCAGCCCAGCCCCAGCGATTACGGCCATCTGCAACATGAACCAGCAGACAAAACGTCTTTACTTCTTTCTAAATCAATGCTTATTTTTTTAAAGACAAAAGAATTTGTTTTAAGATTAATTTTATTTTGATTGGTAAATCAGATGTACAAAGAGGAGAGACAGAGAGGAAGATCTTCCATCTGATGATTCACTCCCCAAGTGGCTACAATGGCCAGAACTGAGCTGATCTGAAGCCAGGAGCCCAGAGCCTCTTTTTTTTTTAAAGATTTATTTTTATTATGTTTTTATTGGAAAGGCAGATATACAGAGAGGAGAGACAGAGAGGAAGATCTTCCGTCCAATGATTCATTCCCCAAGTGAGTGCAACGGCCGATGCTATGCCGATCCGAAGCCAGGAGCCTCTTCCGGGTCTCCCACGCGGGTGCAGGTTCCCAAAGCTTTGGGCCGTCCTCGACTGCTTTCCCGGGCCACAGGCAGGGAGCTGGAAGGGAAGCGGGGACTCCGGGATAGAACCGGAGCCCATATGGGATCCCGGGCATGCAAGGCGAGGACCTCAACCACTGTGCCACCGCGCCAGGCCCAAGCCCAGAGCCTCTTACAGGTCACCCTTGTGGGTGCAGGGTCCCAAGGTTATGGGCCATCCTCAACTGCTTTCCTAGGCCACAAGCAGAGAGCTGGATGGGAAGCAGGGCTGACAGGACATGAACTGGCGACCATATGGCATCCTGGCATGTGCAAGGTGAGGAATCCACTATGCTACCGCACCAGGCCCTGAGAGGCTATTTTTTCAAATTAATTTGTTATTACAAAGGCAGATTTATAGAGAGGAGAGACAATTTGGCCGATCCAAAGCTATGAGTCAGGGGACTTCTCTGGGTATACCACATGGGTGCATGGGTGAGGGGTCCTAAAGCTATGGGCCATTCTCTACTACTTTCTGAGGCTATAAGCTGGGAGGCAGATGGAAAGCGGAGCAGCTGAGACAGTAACTAATGCCCATATGGGATACTGGCACTTCCAGGCAAAGGATTAGCCAACCAAGCCATTGTGGCAACCCCAGGGATGGCATTTTTCAAACAACAAAGAAGTAGAAATAAAAGTAGAAAGGCCTCTTACAGCAAATGTACTCAGCACTTTCAATGACCCATATGATGACAGGTGAAGTCAGAGCAACATCTCACTTAATATTCTTGTTAACTGATCACATGAAATAAAAATCCACCTCTACATACACGCATTGCAAGCGTAAGAATGGAAAATGAGGAGCTGCTATACAGTAACTCTCAAACCTTTTTTTTTAGAAAGCTTTTTTTGTTTTTTAAGATTTATTTATTTTCATTGCAAAGTCAGATATATGGAGAGGAGGAGAGACAGAGCGGAAGATCCCCCATCTGACGATTCACTCCCCGAGTGACCACAATGGTCTGAGCTGAGCCGACCCGAAGCCTGAAGCCAGCAACTTCTTCCAGGTCTCTCACACAGGTGCAGGGTCCCAAGGCTTTGGGCCGTCCATGACTGTATTCCCAGGCCACAAGCAGGGAGCTGGACGAGAAGTGGAGCTGCAGGGATTAGAACTGGCACCCATATGGGATCCCAACATGTCCAAGGTGAGGACTTCAGCTGCTAGGCTACTGTGCCGGGCCCTCCTAGCAATCTTGACAACAATATTCCGATCATAACTATCAGGACTTTTGCTGTAAGAGCAATCAACATCAAGGTTTATTATTTTTCACTGTCTTATCCCATCCTAATTTTTATGTATATCCCACATATAATTGGCTGACAGGTGTGGAAGTTTGCCCTAGCAATTAAAAAGCCACTTGGGATGGCTGTAGCCTGTAACAAAGTGCTTGTGTCCTAGTTCTGTCTCGATTCTGGTTTCCTGCCAACGTGCACCATAGGAGGCAGCAGGTGATGGCACAAGTCCTTGGGTTCCTGCCACCCACGTGAGAGACCAGGATAAGTGCCCAGCTCCCACCTGCAGCATGGGCCGGCTCCAGCTACTACATGCATTTGGGGAGTGAATTAGCAGATAGGAGCACTGCCTCTACAATAATCAAAATTTAAAAAAATTTTTAATACAGCGAATAAGTATTATTAAAATTCTAAATGCTCATTTTATTGAAATCATCACTACCACCAGTGGTGGCACATCTTCCATGTGTACTACATCCTGAGTGCTTCAAAGGCGGCATTTACAATGTACACGAGTAGGAATGCACACGTTCCCACATTTCATTCACTCCAGACGTGAAAAATGAGCAAACCCAGCACACAGGTTCACCCTAATTCATTAGCAGAGCTCAGAGGGGATCAAAGAAGCCCAGTTCCTGACCGCTGCTTCTGTGTTCTCTGCTTCTTAAGTGGTCTACTTTTCTTCTGTCCTTTCTTCTTCTTTTTAGCAGACACCGCTTTTTCGCCAATAAACAAACCTTTAGAATGTCCTTCTATATTTTTGGAAGCAAAATTAAGTCTTTGCTTAGGTTTACTGCCTGTCTTCAAAAGTGGATCTGAATGTTTTGACTTTGAATTTAACTTTTCTTTGTTAACAGACCGCATGACTCTGAGTTTTCTTCCCATTAGTTCTGAATTATTTAGTTTCAGAGCAAGAAGAACAGAATCTTTATTCTGAAATGAAAAAAAGAAAATTCATTAATGTCCACAACTACTTCATCTGCAAAGAAATTAATAAAACTGGAATGTCATCTAATGTTCAGAAAGGCACAATTTGAGACTTTTTATTTCACTGCAAAACAGGGTTTCAACTAAATCAATCTGTCAAATGCAATATTTTAGGACAACACACCTCCTTCTCACAAATCATCTTTCTCCAGAGCCCTGTGTTAATTACTTGCATGGAAGACAAAAACTCATTACGTTCCCTGAGAAGATGGGCCAACTACTCTGAGGAGTTCTGTTTAAATCCAAAAACCTGGGGTCCCGTGTGATAGGCCAGTGGCTTAAGTCCTCACTTTACATGCACCGGGATCCCATATGGGTGCCAGTTCTAATCCCAGAAGCCCTGCTTCCTATCCAGCCCCCTGACTGTGGACTGGGAAAGCAGTTGAGGACGGCCCAAGGCCTTGGGACCCTGCACCCACATGGGAAACCTGGAAGAAGCCCCTGGCTTCGGATCAGCTCAGCTCTGGCCAATGCGGCAACTTGGGGAGTGAATCATCAACAGACTGAAGATCTTCCTCTTTGTCTCTCCTCCTCTCTCTATATATCCGACTTTCCAGTAAAAATAAATAAATTTTAAAAAAAAGCCTCTCTAATGGGAAGCTTTCGCATTATAAGAAGACAATATTTCTAGTGTCCAATATTAGGTAAACAAAGTCTCAACTACATGGCATCATACAATGAAATCTGTGTGCAATAGAAAACCACATAAAGCAAGTAGCCAAATTTTATATTCATACATGGAAATGTTGAAAGTAAATGACCAATAATTTTGTCCATTCTACGAAATGTGGGTATTCAGACTTAGTTCTTTTACCATGTTCTTCCTAAAATATTAGCAACAGGATGAAGACAACAATTACAACAACAATGCTCGGCTATGCCAAGGTAAGAATTAACTTTTTCCAAGAATCTGAGTGAAAATGATGGCTCTGAATGGTGACAAAATATTCAAAGCAACGAGCAATTCCAACACAGTGGCACTGCATCCATCCCTCCGTACCTCGAAGAGCACATAGCCAAAGCCTTTGCCAATTCCTGTAACGTGGTCTCGCACGATCCTCACGGCCACAATACTCCCACAATCCAAAAAGTGCTCTTCCACAGCAGATTCTTCAACTTCTAAAAACGGTCAACCAAAAAAGGAAATAAACACTTGGCATCTCTTTAGAAAGCTGGAGGTGTTCAACAACAGAGCAAGCTATGCACTGCCCCCTCAAAGTCATTACTGTGCAAGCTTTTCAAGGTTAAAGTGCAACAGTAATTCTGCCTCGGCTTTCATTTCCCTTTATAACAACAGTATTACCATATATTTCTTTAGACAAACTTACTGTAAGGGAGGTTCCCCACAAACACTGATCTTTTGTCTCTCTGAAACACAAAGAATATTTAAAATTTTCATTAAAGTAGAAGATGGAAGCTATCCTAAAATCCTTCCTAGCCCTCTTTCACTCCTATCAGATGGGTCAACTATCTCTCAATAATCTTCTGTCTCCATCACTTATGCTTTTTAATAGCATCACCACCTTTATTTTTCTGTCTACAGAATGCACGTTCATCTTTCGAGAATGAGTTCAGTTCTTCTGGAAACCCTCCTTGTTTCCTGCTGGCATGTCCCCTAATGACTGCTGACAAAGCAGACAAGGCAATAATCAGTGTTTTTTAATAAAACAGTGGCACAATTTATCCCTCTGCTCCTCTCCTTAGGCAGCAAACTCCTGGATAGTGTATACACTGTTTTAGAACTGTACACCAGAAACTGCAGGTTCTCAACAACTATCTCACAAAGAACTGAACTTTCTAGATCTCAATCTGTAAAGCAGAGTGCCATACTGGACCATCTAATGTACCTGCAGGCTAAGTCCTTAGGATTATTCCATAATGCGTATTTCCAATGCAAAATCACTATGTTCCTGAAGCTTCTGTTATGTCCTTGTGTGGCTCTCAGATCAGCTCCGTGACCACAGAGGGACAAAGGCTTTTTTCCTTCTGTCCTTTCTGTGTGTTCAAACTATGGACTGCACTCCTCTTCCAGCAAAAGCTCAGAAGAAACATTTCTTTTTTATTAGACTCTAAATTGTTTAAGCAAATCAAGTACGACTTACAGATGAGGTCTCAGATGCGAGATCAACTCTAATACGAAATCCATCTGCAAACTGGGTTCCATTTCTGTATTAGAAATATTAAAAAGATCATGAAAATGAGCACTGAATTACTGTAATCTATGCTCTAGAGAAAAAGTAAACCATATAAAATGTAACCATATATACTTATACATAAAGATAATCCTATACGAGTCTCAGAAATAAAGTTACCTTGCCAGTGCTTTGGTGGCAGCACCCTGATCCTTAAACACAACGTAAGCATTAATATTTTTTTGATCAGGATGAACTTTACGCCTACAGAAACAAAAGAAAAAACTTGTCAATCTCAAAAATAAATCCAGTGTTTTCTACTTTCGATCAACACAAATGACAAGAGACCTGAATAAAGTTTTATATCTTTGAATTAGTATTTAGTAATTATGCAAAAATAACACAAAACCAATAAAGAGCAGCAAAAACGTAACATACATCTTCTGAGGGAGTCTTCGATTTGAGTGATTAGGCAGACCACCCATGAAATGCCCATGGGCACCCACCTACCCCTGAGCAAAACAAGTATTAGAAGCTGTAATCTTAGGGCCAGTGCTGTGGTATAGCCAGCTAAGCCTCCACATGTGGTGCCAGCATCCCTTTGGGGTGCTAGTTTGAGTCCTTTCTGTTCCACTTCTGATCCAGCTCTCTGTAACAGCCTGGGAAGGCAGAGGGAGACGGTTCAAGATATTGGTCCACTGCACCCATGTGGGAGACCCTGAAGAAGCTCCTGGATTCAGCCCCATCCAGCTTTGGCTATTGTGCTCACTTGGGTAGCAAACCAGCAGATCAGAGATCTCTCTCTCTCCCTGCTTTCTCTGTAATTCTGCCTTTAAAGTAAACCAATCTTTAAAAATAAAAAGAACTGCAATCTTAGCTATAGCGACGTATCTGACACGTAAACAGCCGTGAAAGTTAATCTCATCTCACCTTCTAGTGATAAAGTATCAACACAGAAAAGTGCATAGCCATGTAGATTTGGTGATTCAGTAGCAGGCTGACACCCAGGAAGCCAGTGCTAACTGCAGTGCCCCTCGTCCCAGGTGAACACTCTCCCTCCAGGCGACACTACCAGCCCCATCTGAACAGGAACCACTTGTGGGCAGAACCACAAGCCTTCCTCACTAAGTGTCTATTCCTAGCTCCAGTCTGCTAATGTGCCCTGGGAGGCCTTTTTAGTGTACAGATTTCTCTCTTTGCCTTTTTTCTTTTAAATGATTTTTTTCCATTTCTGTTTGGAAGGCACAGTAACAGAAAGAAGACAGAGAGAGAGAGAGAGAGAGAGAGAGAAAAGAAAGGAGAGAGAGGAGAGAGGAGAGGAGAGATCTTCCATCTGTTGGTTCACTCCCCAAATGGCCATATGGCCAAAGTTGAGAGATCTGAAGCAAGGAGCCAGGAGCATCTTCCAGGTCTTCCATGGGGCTGCAGGGTCCCACGGACTTGGGCCAATCTCTACTGCTTTCCAGGCCAAAAGCAGGGAGCTGAATCAGAAGTGGAAGCAGGGAGCTGAATCAGAAGTGGAGCTGACAGGGCCCAGCTCAATAGTCTAGTGACTAAAGTCCTCGCCTTGGAATGTGCCAGGATCCCATATGGGTGCCAGTTTTAATCCTGGTGGCCCCACTTCCCATCTAGTTCCCTGCACCTGCGTGGGAGACCCAGAGGAGGCTCTGGACTCCTGGCTTCGGATTGGCTCAGCTCTGCCCATTGCAGATGCTTGGGGAGTAAATCAATAGATGGAAGACCTTCCTTTCTGTCTCTCCTCCTCTCTGTATCTCTGACTGCAATTTAAAAAAATCAATAATAATAAAAAAAAAAAAAAGTGGAGCTGCCAGAGCTTAAACCAGCACTCATATTAGATACCAGCATAGCAGCTAGAGACTTAGTTTACTAAGCTAAGGATCCAGCCCCATCGCTTAACCACTTTAACTGTTTGACCCCCGTAGCATTTCCCACAACTTGGATTTTGCTGGCTGCAAATTCATACTGCAGTTCAACATGTACCTTATCCTTTGTTTCTTGCAAACGGGCAATTGAATCAAAAGGTTCAATCAGACTTACACTAGACCCCTTCATCATCACCAAAGGCAGGCATGCATTAATTCAAAGGGTGGCATGTTGTGACTGGTTTTCATTTTTTCTAATGGCTAGTTCGCTAGGTTTGCAAAATGGTGTTATATGTCGGATGTGAGAAGCCAATAAAATGGGTCTACCAATGGATAAGGATTTTTTTTTCCCCTGAAATCATCTAACTCTTGTTTTAGAAGTAACAAAATTAGTAAGGCACAAATAAGTATCAGGGCGGCTCTCCGAGAGGCACTCCACCTGCTGGCATTCTCTCCGGAGGTGCTTTCCTCCTCCCTCCCCTGTCCCTGCTCTCCTGGTTCCTTCACAAATAAACTTTTCTGCCTGCAACAACAACAAAATGAGTATCAGGAAGAAGGGTTCTGGGGAATACTGATCACGGCATTCCGTAATACTGACAGACCCAGCTGTGCTTTACTCTCCGTTCCTTTCATTTCGGAGGCAGGGAGAGCGAGCGAGCGAGTCAGCAGAGAGCTTGCTCTTATATGGCGGACGGGGGAGGCTCGCTCGTCCCGGGTAGGAAGGGCGACTACTGGCAGGTGGGCCCGGAGGGGGTTAAGTTGTGGGGGGGGGGAGCTGGGGTTATGCTCTGGGCTGTTATACAGATGGGGGGTAGAGAGCACCTTAGATGGGGGGGGAGCGGAATAAGGGGGAGGGTGCTGACGCGGGGTAGCACGTGAATAAAAGGGCATTTTGTGTCGTGTGTAGTAAAAGTGATGTATGTTTTTGGTGTAGAGAGATTCTATGGGTAATGTGAGAAGAGGGATGATGAAGGTGATGAGTGTGGAATACTGGGGAGTGGGTAGGGGGGGTTAATTGAGGGTGGGGGTGTGTAGATGTTTTTTAGGGAAGTGGGAGGAGTGGGGGGGGGGGAAGGGTAATTATTAGGTTGGTGTTAGATAGATAGGGAATGAAAGGGGGGGGGGGGTTATGTGATAGATTGGTATTAAGTATGTTGAATTTGGGGGGGGGGAGGGTGTTGGTGATGGATGGTGTGAGATTGAGGGTTGAATGTAGGGTGAAAGAAAGGGATTGATGTAGTGGGGTTATAGGAAAGAGGGAGGGGGATGTTGAAAGTTATTGATTGAGGGTGTAAAGAATGGTTGGATAGAGATGTGGGATAATGAAAGATGGTGAGGAGAATTGGTAAGGGGTGAGTAATGTTTGGGGAATGGTGGGGGGGGGTGAAGGGTGGAGAAATAAAGATAAGAATTTTTTATAGATAAGGTGGGGGGAATGTAGGGTTGATGTGGAGTGGAGGAGTGAAGATTTTTTTGATGTGTGGGGGGGTAGTTATTGTTGTTTATTGAGTATGTGGGAGTTTTTGATAGGAGAGATGTTGTATGGTTTTTGAGAAGGTTGTATTTATTTATTTTTGAAATTTATTTTTTTGTTTGTTGTTTTTTAAATAAATTGGAATTAGGGGGGGTGGATAAGAGGTTTTTGGGTGTTGTATGAATTTAGTTAGAGGTGTTGTTAATGAATTGTTATATTTAAAAAGAAGTATATTTAGTATTGGGTTATTTATTATATGATAGGGGAGTTGTGAGGGTTTTAGGATTGAGAGGTAAATGGGGTGTTAAGTAGAGTTTTAAAAAGGAATATATTAATTGAATATTGGGGTGGGGGATGGAAGGGGGGAAAAGTGAAAGTTTTAGAAAGAGGGGGAGGTTTGATGGATGGTTGGAAGTTGGAGGGTTAAAGGATGAATGTGGAGACCCGGAAGAAGCTCCTGGCTTCAGATCAGATCAGCTCTGGCCATTGTGGCCACTTGGGGAGTGAATTAGTAGACGAAACATCTTTCTGTTTCTCCTCCTCTCTGAGTATGACTTTCCAGTAAACATAAATCTTTAAAGAAAAAAAAAAACAAACCTTATAACCTCTGACCGTTATGAGATACCTTTTAAAAAGTTAAGCCTTGTATCACATACGACGCTAGTGCCAGATTTGTCGTAGCTGCTCTACTCTGATCTGGGTCCCTAGAAAGGCAGCGGAGGAGAAGCCGGGTGCCAGGGCCTCTGCCACCCACGGGGGAATCCTGGGGGGGTCTCAGCTGCAACCTCATCAGGCCTGGCTGTTATGGCCATCTGGGGGAGCAAATCAGTGAACGGAAGATTGCGATCTCTGTTTTTATAACTTTACCTTTCACATAAATAAAGTAACTACGAAATGGAATATGTATCTGAAAAAGTCTTACATTCAGAATGTAAAAATCAAAACTCTTCACAGCAAGACACAAAATCCAACGAATCGGGCATGCACTGTGGCTCAATTTGATGTGCAGCAACTTGAGTTCTCACTTATTAGGGGTGAAATAATAAAATGTTACAACTTGGAGCCCAGCACAGTAGCCTAGCAGCTAAAGTACTCATGTTGCATGCAACGGGATCCCATATGGGCGCTGGTTCCTGTTCTAGCAACCTGGCTTCCCATCCAGCTCCCTGCTTGTGGCCTGGGAAAGCAGTTGAGGACGGCACAAGATGTTAGGACCCTGCACCCACACGGGAGACCCAGAAGAGGCTCTGAGCTCCTGGCTTCGGATTGGCTCAGATGCAGCTATTGTGGGCTCTTGGGGAATGAACCAGCGGATGGAAGATTTTCCTCTCTGTCACTCCTTATTATATATCGGACTTTCCAATAAAAGTAAATAAACAGGGCCCAGCGCAGTGGCCTAGCAGCTAAAGTCCTCACCTTGAACGCACTGGGATCCCATATGGACGCTGGTTCTAATCCCGGCTGCTCCACTTTCCATCCAGCTCCCAGCCTGTGGCCTGGGAAAGCAGTCGAGGACAGCCCAAAGCCTTGGAACCCTGCACCCACGTGGGAGAGCCGGAAGAAGTTCCTGGCTCCTGGCTTCAGATGGCATAGCGCCGGGCATTGCAGTCATTTGGGGAGTGAATCATCGGACGGAATATTTTCCAGTGTCTGCTCCTCTTTGTATATCTGACTTTGCAATAAAAATAAATAAATAAAAAAAAGGAAATAAACAAATGTTTAAATGCTACAATTTGGAAAACAATTTGATGATTCTGAGAATGGTCATATATTTTTAAAAGACCTGCAATCCCTTCACCTCGGCAATTGCTCCAGAGAAATGCAATGTATGTAATATCATCTTTCAGAAATGGGCAAAAACTGAAAAAACCTGAATGTTACAAATGGTAGATGGAGAAACCAATTCTGGGACTTCTGTACAATGGAATATTAAAAAATAATGATAATAAGCTACAGAAGCATATAGCAATATGGATAAATACATATTCAATATTTTCAATTTTTAAAATATATTCTTAATTTTTATGGGGACCCTGTACTCATATAGGAGACCACAAAGAAGCTTCTGGCTTGGGAATGGCTTAGCTCTGGTCTAGAGGACGTCTCTGTATCTTCTGTTTATCTACTTTTCCAATAAGAAAAAGGAAAAACAAAAAAACAAAAAACAAAAAGCCTATACATTCTAACTACATGTTGTTAAGGGAGGCAAATACACTTAATAATTAAAAATTATTTTCAAACTTTGACTACATGAAAAAGGCAAAGTTAATTACACAGAAAAATTCTCCATTAGCAAGAGTCAAAAAGCAAATACTCATCAGGCCAAAAGCATTTGTACTTCACAGCTCAGGAGGCTGATTTCATTAACACCCCACAGAACAGCAAGACTAATGACTCAGCACCAAAATAAATAACAGGCAAATGATACAATGATTCAAAGCAAGTAATTACTGTTAACTATATAGAAAGATGCTCACTCAGAAGAGAAATGCAGATAAGAAATCTCTTCTTGTCAAGCTGTGATTATCAAAAAGCTCAAGATTTTACCATTTTTCTAAAGAAGCTATTGTTGGTGAAGCTGTGGGAATGCAAGTTCCCATCTCTACTGGAAAACAACCAAGAGCACAAATGCAAATACAGATGGATTCAATTTTAGGCTAACAGCTTATCCTACAAAAAAATTAGCACAAAAATTACCTGAACACAGTTTACTCATTCAGTCCAGGATTATTTGCAATGGCAGTAAGACTAGGAAACAACTACAAATCCAGCAGTAGTAAGTATATTAAGATAAGGTGTGCATATATGTGTGTGTGTGTGTGTATATAAAGGTATACCTTGCACAACACGAAAATACTCTGAAAAAGAACCACTTCCACCCCAAAACAGATGGATTTCCACATTACATCACGTGTAGAGAAGCTTGCAGTTATACAGTACCACCACTCGTGGACAAAGTCACGTGTGGGGAAGAGAATACACATGCTTAACAGTTTGGAAGCTGTCTCCACAAGGTTATATTAGACTTTAAAAGCAGTTACTAGCCGGGGGCAATGTACTGGCTCACCAGGGAAAAAGAAGTAGAAGACAAGCTTTATTGTATTTACTTTTTCACTCTCTGGTTTTGAATCATCTGGCTCATTACTCATTCACATTAATTTTAAATTAAAATAAAAAGTGGGGGAAGAAGGAGAGGCTGATGACAATCATAGGTGCAAATTCCATTGTTCTGGAATGCCCCACCTAATCTCTTTAAGATTACTCATATAACACGTGTCAGAACCTTGGCTTTCAACCAAATTGAAGCTGCTTGGTGTCAACCCCACACAGAAGTAAAGGTTTGTGTAATTCCAGAAGAGCTGTATCTTACGAAGCTTTCTGTTCCCCACAACATCTGAACAACCCCCTGCACACAGGAAGACCTAATACATGTTAAAATTTTATTTTGTTTTTACTGCGAAGTCAGATATACAGAGAGAAGGAGAGACAGAGAAGATCTTCTGTCCGATGATTCACTCCCCAAGTGGCCTCAACGGCCAGTGCTGCTCTGATCCGAAGCCAGGAGCCAGGAACTTCCTCCAGGTCTCCCATGAGGGTACAGGGACCCAAGGCTTTGGGCAGTCCTGGACTGCTTTCCCAGGCCACAAGCAGGGAACTGGATGGGAAGCGGAGCTGCCAGGATTAGAACTAGCGTCCATAAGGGATCCTGGTGTGTTCAAGGCGAGGACTTCAGTCTCTGGACCACCGCACTGGGCCTGAATCCACACTCTTATGATGCCAAAATTACATATGGCAGCATAACCTTCTTTGCTACATTTTTATTTGAAAGGCAGATTTATGGAGAGGAGAGACAAAGAGAGGGATCTTCCATCTGCTGGCTCATTCGCAAAATGGCCAAATGGCCAGAGCTGGGCCATTTTGAAGCCAGGAGCCAGAGGCTTCCTCTGGACCTGCCTTATGGGTGCCGGGGTCCAAGGACTTGGACCATCTTCAGCTGCTTACCCAGGCAGGGAGCGGGATTGGAAGCACAGCAGCCAGGACTTGTGCCCATGTGGAACGCCAGCACCACAGGCTGGGACCTAACACACTGTGCAGCAGTGGCATGCTCCTCTCACCCCAATAAATAAATCTTGAATACAAACACACATAGAAAATAGTGTCAAGTCCACGTGGTGGCCTAGCAGCTAAAGTTCTCACCTTGAACGCACCGCCAGGATCCCATAAGGGTGCCAGTTCCAATCGCAGTAGCTCCACTTCCCTTCCAGCTCCCTGCTTGTGGCCTGGGAAAGCAGTCGAGGATAGCCCAAAGCCATGGGACCCTGCACCCGTGTGGGAGAGCCGAAGAAGCTCCTGGCTTTTGGCTATGGATCGGCGCATGACCCACCTTTTGGATCTTCCTCTCTGTTTCTCCTCTCTGTATATCTGACTTTGCAATACAAATAAGATAATTCTTAAAAAAAAAAAGAAAAAGAATATAGTGACATAGGAAATGATGACATATGGTATTTCTGAGTTGTAACAGGCAATATGGACAGAAAACTGCATAAAACAGTATGCTCTTCTAAACAGTAAGAACAGGAATGCAATTTCTCACGGCATATATTTCAGTAAATCATTGAACAATACATTCTGTGATGGTACAATTTACATTTATGCCTAAAGATTCCTGAAAAATTTGTGGGTATTACAGACACAAGAAAATAGTAAAGCATGAAGTACTACTGAAAACAAAAATCTACAAAGCTGTTAGGAAATGGTCTGAATTTTTCATCAAAAAGGAAGAGAGCTTAAGATAATTTACTTCCTTTAATTACAAACTTACTTGATTGCTGCCAACTTTTTGGATAGAGTTCCCTCTGCTGGAATCTTTTTGGAGAAAAAAGAAAGTTATTGAATTTTATACTTAAAGTTACTTCAAATTAATTATATTTTACTTGAAACCTAACTACCTGATTCAGGAATTTTGTGGTTACAAGCCATTATGGTAAAATAATAAAAGCAGAAACAATCCTACTAATGCTACATCAAAGGAACTTTATATAATAAATACAAAATTTTAGTGATGTTGTTAAATCTCAGATTTAACAAGCAGTGAACAAATAATATAATAATGCTTATTTCAAGCTCCGAGGAACATGGAACCTGGTCCAGAATACTCAGACAGTGAAATCAATTATTCATATTACACTGATTTCAAGAGAATACTTCTTCAGTCTATGCCAAAAGTATCAAATACCATTTATAACCACCCTTTCATACTGAAAAGGACTGCAACATTCCAGAGGTACTATTCAGCAAGTATTATTTTTTCCTGACTACTCTACCCCCACTGAAAATAAAAGTCCTCTCAGAAGACACTGTTGGTTTTAACTGCAACAAGGATACCATTTTATCATCAGCTCTTACCAACACAGTCCAGAGCCAGCCAGAGACGCTGGTACAGCTCTTGGGCTACACTGGAACCCACTGATTCGCCAAGCTCAAGTCAAGGCTTCCTTATCTCATGAATTTCAAGAAATTAGTAACTCGAAGTTAAATGCAATTAATTTAGGATAATTCCTGTTTTAAAGGAAGAGACAACATACCAGAGAACGAAATCGTACAGATTCTATTGGCCCATACTCCTTAAAAAATGACTTCAGTTTCTAAAACATAAAGAAAACACATAACATGGCTTAAATACATAGCTGTGTGTGCATGCATGCATATACACATACATTCATAAACACATGTATATTTCAAAACATCAACGAAGTGCTACAAAAAGGAATTAAACTGATAATCTTTTATTGTTTTAAATACCGTTTCAGAAAAAGCAAATGTCCACACAGAATATTTTACTGAAATTCACATAAGAAACAAAATTGAAGTTCATATGAGTAGCCACCGAATATATATTATTTTGCTTTTCCAATTTTTTATATTCATAACCATATGTGAAAAAAATTAATTTAGATTTCTGTCTTCCATAGATTCTTTCATTTTTCTGAACAGTTAAACTAAAACTAATTTTAAGATGCTTATCACGAGCCCGGCGCAATAGCGTAATGGTTAGGGATGTCACCTTGAATGCACCGAGATCCCATATGGGCGCTGGTTCTAATCCCGACAGCTCCACTTCCCATCCAGCTCCCTGCTTGTGGCCTGGGAAAGCAGTCCAGGACGGCCCAAAGCCTTGGGACCCTGTACCCTCATGGGAGACCTGGAGGAAGTTCCTGGCTCCTGGCTTTGGATCAGAGCAGCACTGGCCATTGAGGCCACTTGGGGAGTGAATCATCAGACAGAAGATCTTCCTCTCTATCTCTCCTCCTCTTTGTATATCTGACTTTGTAATAAAAATAAATAAATTTTAAAAAAGAATGCTATTACTGCTTCACAATTTTTGCAATACATAATAAGCTATAAACTCACCTTCTTATTACATGTGACAGGTAAGTTGCCAACAAACACGGTTCTGTCATTCTTTAATCGCTCTTCTTCCTTGTTGATTTGACTTTTCTTTCTTTGACTGACATCCAAGCTGTGATCTGCATCATCCAGTACTTTAACTTTGGGTTGTGTATTTTTCCTTTTGTGCCCTTTTGTCTGTTGATTTTCTTCTTCTAAATCAGCAGTTGCTAGCGCACTTTCCCTTTTTAAGGCAACAACAACAGAAATACCAAGAGTCACAGAATGCAGCCTAGTAGTTAACTAACTACAGTCCCACTTTTCATCTTCTTATGAAAACTACTTCCCAACAAACTCTTTTCTAAACTCCACTCAAGTGCACCTCATGGAACTTTAAAAGAAGAATCAATTAATAATGGACTTTTCTCTTCAGAAAACAAATCCTGTAACTCAATAAATACAATTAGAAATATCAATTTCTAATGATAAACTGAAGTTACCATTTAAGAGTGACAGTAACAAAAAATCACCTAAAGATCATTTAAATTTGGCTTAAAAGTTGTTCACAAAATTCTTGCGAATTAAGGTTACAACTCTCAAATGCCCAATTTCTTTCTCTAGTGTAGAATTTAAGAGGTAAAGCAATACTCCCTGGTGTTAAACCACCACTTATAATATCAGCAGCCCACATCACCACAACAGCTCAAGTCCCAACTATTCCACTTCACACCAGCTCCCTGCTAATGCACTTGGGCATGCAGCACATGAGGGTATTGGTGGTTGGATCACAGGCATCCACTTGAAACACTGAAAGTTCTGGGCCTCTGGTTTTAGCCTGCAACAACCCACACTGCTATGGATAGCTGACAGAAGCTCTGCCCTGCACCCCCACGCTACCCCATTTTTCTGCGTTTCAAATACACAAATAAATCCTTTTCAAGAAATTATTATTTATTTTTATTGGGAAGTCAGATATACTGAGAGAAGGAGAGACAGAAAAAAGATCTTTCTTCTGAGGACTGCCCATCCCCAAGTGGCCACAACGGCAGGAGTTGAGCCAATTTGTAGCTAGGAGGCAGGAACTTCTTCCAGGTCTCCCACACGGGTGCAGGGTCCCAAGGCTATGGCTTGTCCTTGACTGTTTTCTCAGGCTATAGGCAGGGAGCTGGATGGGAAGCAGGGATGCCAGGATTACAACCAGCACCCATATGGGATCCTGGCACGTGTGAGGTGAGGGCTTTAGCCGCCAGGCTACTGTGCTGAGCCCAAGTACCCTTTTGTTTTTTCATAATTTTTCTTTAAAAGCTAGTATATGGGCCTGGTACGATAGCGTAACGCATAAACTCCTTGCCTTCAATGTGCCAGGATCCAATGTGGGCGCCGGTTCTAATGTCGGTGGTCCTGTTTCCATCCAGCTCCGTGCCTGTGGCCTGTGAAAGCAGCCGAGGACGGCCCAAATCTTTGGGACCCTGCAGCTGTGTGGGAGACCTGGAAACAAGTTTCTGGCTCCTGGCTTCGGATTGGCTCAGCTCCGGCCGTTGCGGTCACTTGGGGGGAGTGAATCATTGGACTGAAGGTCTTCCTCTCTGTCTCTCCTCCTTCCCTGTATATTTGCCTTTCCAATAAAAAACAAATTTTTTTTTAAAGCTACTACTAAAAAGGTAAAAATAATTTAAGAAATATTTTAAAAGGTTTACATGCCTACAAAATATTCTAAGAAATAAATCTGGGCAAAAGAAAAAAAAAGACTCCCCACTTACAACAATCTGCTACTAATTAAATATTCATCAAGACTAATTAAAAAACATTTTAACTAGCACATATTACTCATGATTATATGTATTTGTGGGGTACAGTGTGACATTTTAATACACCTATGGGGCTATGATCGGTCAGGGAATCGGGCATTTCTACCACCTTAGACATGTACTGCTTCTTTACTGCTGGGACCATTCAAAATCTCTTCCTGTAGCTATTCAAAAATAACCAACTAATTGTCGAATCAGCCATGCTTAAGCTCCTTGTATTACAGATCATTAGAAGTTATTCCTTCTATTCAACAACACCCCTGTAACCATTAGCCATCCTCTCCTGAGTCTATCCCTTCCGAGTGAAGCTTGAAACGGAAAATACAGTAGAAAGTACTGGTGCACACGGATAAGGCCTCAGTAGGAATCCAAAAAGAAAACTGGACAGGAATCCCAATGCGTTACGGGAGAGGTGGGTACAAAGAATCATACACAATGACCAATTCATCAGCAAATAGTGGGTCATATGCAGTTCTAGCATCTGAGAACACAAAGAGACTGTAGGCTCAACATTCCTTAGAGGAAATGCTTGGGACCACAGGTGGTTCTGCTTTCAGTTTTTACAATTCTGGAATAGCTGTGCAAACATTCTGGTTGAATACCATCTATCTGAGATGCCCAAAAACCCACCAGCACTAAAGGTTTCAGTTTGGATTTTCACATATGCCCACTCCAATCCAAAAAGCCTTTCAGAGGTCTTGGAAAGAGCCAGCAAAGTGCACAGTAAAGCTGAAATGGCCACAGTTTGTGGTATGGGAGCACGGGACTAAGCGGCGTCTGGCACACAGCTGGTCCTCTGCAAATGCTCCCATTACTCTCCTACTAGACATGCCCCTGGGAAGGGATCCACATCTGCTGCTCTGCTCACAACAGCGTTCCATGTGCCTAGCAGGAGCTGAAAGGAAACGAGACAGTATGGTAAGGTGGGAAACAGGTCAAGAAGGCCACTATACATTATGTATAAGTGCTTAGATTTTATTCTACAAAGTGGGGGAGTCACTGAAGAAGAGTAACCAAAAGAAGATTCCTTAAAAATATCTAACTACTTTCATTGGGAAGGCAGATTTACAGAGAGAAAGTGACAGAAAGATCTTCAATCCTCTGGCTCACTTCCCAAACGGCGCAACAGCCAGAGCTGAGCCAATCTGAAGCTAGGTGCCAGGATCAACCTCTGTGTCTCCCACATGGTCCCAAGGTTTTGCTTTCCTAGGCCACTAGCAGGAAGCTAGAGGGAAAGTGGAGCCACTGGGACATGAACTGGTTCCGATATAAGATTTCAGCACTTGTAAGCGGAGGATTAGTCATTTAAGCTATCACACCAGGTACCTAAAAAATATTTTTGGCATAGCACAAGATAACTAGACTGATAACTAGAAGATAAACTGACTTTCCAACAAAAATTATTTTTTTTAAAAAAGAGCTGTATATATTGTTCATTAAATCTGCAAGTAGGTCAGAATGCCCTCAGGGAGCACCATTTCAGAGGTTCGGTCAGGGCAACAACACAAACATCAACACCACCAGGAGTGAACGGATCGACAGAAGAGAGCGCCAGCCGGAATACATCATTCTTTCTGCCAATTTACCTCTGGAGAGCAGGCCTGAGGGCATGGTCTGGAAGGCAGCAGACAGGTTACTAGCAGTGGGGAGATTTTGTCCTTTTTTAGATGAGACCGTGAATTATCTGTATACAGTGGAAAGACCCATGATACAGGAAAGAGAAAATGGATGGACCTGCTGGCTGGCCCCATCCCTACGGAAGCAGAACTCACATGAAGCGTACACAGTCAATGCAGGCAAGAAGGAAAACAGCGTTGTGTGAACGTGGATCACAAGTTCTGCACAGAGAGATGATGAACCCCAGTAGAAGCAGCTGACAACTGTTAGCAATGAACAGCTCCCAGAAATGGTAACAAGGTCCTCTACCCAGGGAGCGGAGTAAAAGGGAAAGGAAATACACGGCACCTGAACAGTGGCACAAGATGAGCAAAGCCATCAGAAACATGACAGCTCTATTCTTGACTCAAATACACCATAAAATACTGACTTAGTGGCAGAAACTGGCTGAGTTGAAAACCAAATTTATCTTTTATATCCATGCTGAAATATTCACAGATGAAGCACTCATATGAGTTATGATTCCAAATAACCAGGCTGACTCTGCATGGGGTAAAGATGCAGGATGGGCAAGTGGCAACCACCCTCTGCCCACGGACGCAAGGTCGGCTCAGCCTTCTCCACTTACTCTCCCTTATATGGTCTATCACGAAATTTGTTATTGGGAAAGAAGAAAATTAGAATCACGAAATGATTAAAAAACTTCAGTTGAAGACAGCAGGAATAGGAACTTTTAAATTGTTACTCATGTCTTTAACAAGTGAAAGAACGCTACCAACCTGTTTGCCAAATTTTCGTCTGCTGTGGAGACTTTCTTCTTCACTGCGAATTTTTTGGCTTGATCTGGCAGCACAGGTCTTCCAGTCTGGGATGCTCTTTCTTCCTCCTCCTCATCCTCCCGCCTTCTTTTTTTAGTGGTTTCCTTTTTAAAAGTTGAAAGCCATTCTCTTGATACCTCATCCCTCAACATTTCATACCCTGTCGGCATCACTCACTCATCTCTCCAAAAGAGCATCTTAACGGGCTAGAATCAAACAAGGTCGCTGACAGTCCCATTCGCCACCCCCAAGTCGCCGTCCGTTCGGGACGAACCCAGTGACTTACTTTAGACACAGGCACGTACACGGGTTGAACTTGGGGTTCTGCCGAGCTGAAGAGAGCCGCCAGTCGAGCCGCGCCACCTCCCGAGGGCCGCCTGCCCTGGGCTAAGCTGCCGGCCACCTGTCCAACCAAGTAGTCTCCGGCCGGATGCCCGCCAACGCCGCCGCCCAGCTTCTCTCTACAAACGGACGCCACAAACTCAGCCATAGCACGTCCGCCACGGCGAACGCACGGCCGTCCCCGGCCCCACATGCACTCGGCGACACTCACCCCGGGTCGGCATTCCGCTTTCTCTTCCGTTTGTTCTTCCCTTCCACAGCCATATTTCCTCCAAACCCTTCCACACAGACGCACGTGACCTGCGGCTTCCGGGTACGGGCTACGTCCGCCCCAGGCCACGCCCCTTCCGCTCGAGGATAGAGACGGGTGGGATCCCGGGAGCAAGGGCTGTTTTGTCCTCTCTGGCTGGCAGTCCTCGCCCTGTGTCCTAGAATCCTAATAGTGGCAGGGGAAAGAATTTCTTACACAAGTTGAGGTCTGCAGTACGAATGGGAGTCAGGCGGTCTGGGAGTGGTGTGTCAATGAAAGTGGAGGGAACCTCCCGAGTTGTGGGTGGGCATAAATGAGGTTCCAGAGGCAGGCGTATTAATGAAGCCTTAACTCATGAGTGCGAAGGGCATGTGGCAGTTCTTTATACTTTTCCTACATCTTTGGTGAAACACATTTGAGAGCACCTGCCTCATTCAGGCTCTTACTACCCCCTGTGTGTCTGCCGGGCACTCAGAACTCCCCTCTGTTTTCTTAGCTGGCCTTCTGAGACACATCTCGCTGCCTGTCTGAACACTCTAGTCTATTTTTCCTTCACTTCTATACTCTGATTTTTCTGTAATAGCCCTCATCCCTTTTCTGGAAATTCTTACCCCTCTAGCACAGATACCATCTTACTTATAAGTTGATATTTACAATGGGGAATATAATCTTGATGAAACCCTTCTTGTACTTCCTATGATTGCGTTTTGCATTAGTGTAATTTACATGGTCTCTATAGAGTTAAAGGCATGAGGATTAGGCTATAATGTATCTTATATTGTTAGTATGTAGGTAAATGTTAGAATAATAAAATGCTATGTTAGAATGATAGTATATTAGAATGCTAGAATGGAATGTTTTTGTTAGGCAGTATGAGATACCTTTGTGCTACTTTGCTAGGCCAGGAGGCGCGCCTGAACTTTGGGAGGATTCGCTTTAGCGATCTGTTCTTTGCTGCCTTGCAACTTTGTGAACCTAGGTGCAGGAGGGCAAGGGCGTAATTCTTCGCCTTGTTGTGTGTGTGTGTGTGTGTGTGTGTGTGTGTGTGTGTGTGTGTGTGTTTTAAACTACAATAGCTTACTGGGAAGATACCCATATATCACCTGTTAAGTCCCTGTCAAATATGTTTACTCCAGTGTTTGGTCCTGATTTTGATTATTAAGCCCTAATTGTGGCTTCTCATAATTATGTTCTAGGGATGGCATTGTGACACAGAGCATTAAGCTGCCTCCTATAACACCAGCAAACTATGTGGGTCCCCGCCACCTGTGCGGGATACTCAGATGGAATTCCATACTCTTGGCTTCAGCCTGGCCCAGCCATAGCTGTTGCGACTATCTGCGGAGTACACCAGGGGATGGAAGATCTCTTCTCTCGCTTCTCCGCCATCTCATTTGATAGGAACCTCTTCCAGGTCTCCCACATGGGGGCAGAGTTCCAAGGCCTTTGGGCTCTTCTCAACTGCTTTCCCAGGCCACAAGTAGAGAGCTGGATGGGAAGTGGAACAACTGGGACACAAACCAGTGCTCATATGGGATCCTGCCACGTGCAAGGCGAGGACTTTGGTCACTAAGCTATAGTGCCAGGCCCCTCACGAATTCTTTTCCAGGTAAAATTAACCATCCCTGACCATAAGGTTCTCATACTAAGGAAAAAAAAAATGGAAAACACTGTAATAAACACACCACACCAGACTGCTCCTTTACTCATTTTCCCCCTTCGTATGCTTTATTAGCATCCTTTTTTCCCCATTGTTTTTCTTTATTTTTGACAATCTTTACATAGTTAATTAGGACACAAAGGTTCAAGGGATACAGGAAGGTGGGCAAGACTGGGTAACGGAGACTCTAAGGTGGACTGTGTCCATCAGTGGATTTTGCAGTGACCTCCTCGTGCTTGGAATGGCAAGACTGGCTGCAATTCAGAACTGTTGAACTATCAAAACCACTTGAGCAAGACCCTCAGAGCATGCCCCACATCAGGGACCTGGGATGGGTGGGAAACTGGGTGGGGCTTCTCCCTTTATCTCCTTCCTCCTTTACCACAGATACAGGGAAAAAAACAACGTGCATCCTTTTTTTGTTGTTGCTGAACGTTCCCACTTTCATAAGAGAGCTAATTACAACACTCCAGCACTAGGTTCACCTGATACCTAGCCCCTCCAATCAGAACTTCCCTCACCTGCCTTGTGCATACCCCATACCAGCTCCAACAAGTTAGGGGGTCAGATTCATGCATTATTCCTGCTTATTTAGCCACCCTGTGAGGAACTTTTAACCCAAGACCATCACCTTTGGGTTTGGCCTTGTGATGTACACAGGCAAGAGGCTCACCTTGGTTATTAACAATCTCACCTTAATTTTTTCATGTACTGTAAACTAAGATAAAATTTGGGGGGCCCGGTGTGGTGGCTTAGCAGCTAAAGTCCTTGCCTTGAATGCATCGGGATCACATATGGGTATGGATTCTAATCCCTGCAGCTCTACTTCCCATTCAGCTCCCTGCTTGTGGCCTGGGAAATCAGTGGAGGACAGCCCAAACCCTTGTGACCCTACACCCTCATGGGAGACCTGAAGGAAGTTCCTGGCTCCTGGCTTTGGATCAGCACAGCAACAGCCACTGCAGCCACTTGGGAGTGAATCATCGGACAGAAGATCTTCCTCTCTGTCTCTCCTAATCTCTGTATATCTGAGTTTTCAATAAAAATAAAATAAATGTCAAAAACAAAAAAACTTTCAAGTCCCCCTAGAAGAGAGGTGAGAAGGCAGACAGGACAGAGGGAATGCTTAGGTTCAAGTTTGACTTGGCTCTGCATTCTACCTGCCCACTAATGCAAACACAGAGGCTTAACACATCAGGATAGCTTAAGAACTTGGGAGCCTGCCATCCGCAAGAGACCTGGACCAAGCTGGGTTGCTAGCTTCAGTCTGGCTCAGTACCACCTGTTGTGGGCAAACTGGCACATGGGAGATCTCTGTGATTTTCAATTAGATTGAAAATATAGGGAAAAAAAGAAAAGATAATCTCACTACGATATCCAAAGGGATATCAGTTTTAAGGACTTAAATGTGCTAGTTTAGCCCTGGCGATTACAACCATCTGTGGAATGACCAGCAAATGGAAACTGATTTCTCATTCTCTAAACTTGCCTTTCAAATGAATTAATTTTTTTAAAATTAAAAATTAAGTAAATAATAAAGCTTGGCCAAAGCAGTGGTTTTCTATCCTGGAGTCCTTACACAAAAAAATGAGACAGATATCCAGCCCAATTTAATTAAATAGGACTGTCTGGGGCAGTTGTTGTGGTACCATGCCACAGCACCTGAAACCATGGCTTACAACATCTGCACTTCAGTGTACTTGTCTAGTGGCTGGTTCATGACCCAGCTACACCTCTTCTGATCAGCTTCCTCCTAAATGATCCTGTGAGGGACCGACAACATCAGCATCCAACATGGGAGTGGCACATGGAATCTGGCTGCTTCACTTCTGATCCAGTGTCCTGTTAACACACCTGGAAAAGTAGTGGAAGATGTGCCTCTGCCATCCATGGATGGACCTGGATGGAGTGCTGGGCAGTTGGCCTCTGGCTCAGCTCTGCTTACTGCAACCATCAGATGGAAGATCTCTGTCTCTCTAACTCTGCCCTTCAAATAAATTTTTACAATCTTTATAAATAAATGAACCTCAGCAGGATGGGGGATAGGAGAAGCACTTTCTGTCAACCAACTGAGACACAGATTCAAGTTCAGAACTTCTGGCTTCAGTCTGGCCTATCCCAGGTTGTTGCAGCCATTTGGGGAATGATCCAGAAGATGGACTATGTCTTCCCTGTCACTCTTTCTGCCACTTTTCAGAGAAATAAATATAAGACTCTCTGGGGGAAAAGCATTACAAACTATAGCTGACTGATTCCTGTATGCATCAAGAGTACATTACACTAAATTATGGGGGTCGGGGTCTTCAAAGAGTTCCTGGAAAATGCATATAAAGAAAAAACTGTAATCCCAAGTTTTTTTTTTGCACCAAAATGCATTTACATTTATTACCATCTTCCACGAACTCTATGAAGTACATAAAAGGCATATCAAGTTAAAAAGCTGCCAGTAATGTTTCAAGTGCTAAAGAAAAAATATAAACCTTCAAATAATATGAAAACTATTTACATTGAGATTCAAGCAAAAAACATTTCGTGTACGCAAAGATATTAGAATACCTAATAAAATACTCCTCAAATAAATTAATTTTGTGTTTTAATAAATATAAGATTTGCTTTTTTGTATGTCAAATAACCCTTCGAGGGTTAATACGTGCAGGATATGTGTATTTGTCTCAATTATCACTTAAGGAAGCATTAAAATTACTTAATCTTTTAGAAACAAAATCAAGGATTCACAAACTATGGCATTTTATTTCAGAGCCTTTGCTTACATTTGTACAATATATTACATAATTCTTCATTGTTGCAGATCCTAATATATACTTTATAGCTTTTATTCTATAAGCTTTTTCTTCAACAGTTTGTTGTCAACAAATCTTTACAGTCCTGTACAAATTTGAATAACTTGAAACCATTTTCAACAAAATTAGTTACTGTAAGTAAGCACATACTACAAGACTGAAAATGCTTTTCTTAGAAAAGTTGAATGTAAAGGATTCTGACACGTTAGCATCTACAACAAAACGCTTTGAAATTCTCACATGTCGAATTGCCAGGAAACAAACAAAACATGCCAGCTCCATCCAAAAAAAGTACACAGAACTACAATTAAAACAGTAAAACAGTCTGTACAGTAAAGTACTGTGTAATAACAGTGCCAGGTATTAAATAGCTTGAATGAACACATCCGCAATATACAAATGTCTTACAAAGGTGAAGAATTAAATACAAGTGCCAAACAGAACAGAGATTGGAATCATACAACATAAAGTCAACACAAGTGAAAACAACTTTGCGTTCATTCTGAATTTTATACAAGGCATTTAATTTTATAGGCCTACTGTCCCAATTAGCTATTTATACTGAAAATAACAGCCATCCTTTTGAGACAGTTCAGATCAACAACCTTGAACCATACTAATAGTTGTTCCTGAAGTCTTTTTGTTGTAGCTCATAATAAAATAAGCAATACAAATGAATTATCTGTATTTAAAGGAAAAGAAACATTTACAAGAAAACACAAAAATATAACTGTTATAATTCATTATGAATAAATATACACTTTGAACTGGCTAAGTACAATCTTTATACATTGTTTAAGATTTAATACAGTTTATTAGCCACTTTTTTCACACAATGTATTATATCAAAATTAAAAAAAAATACTGATTTATAGAAAAATGGCAAAGTACAGTAGTTCCA